TATATAACCTTATGGGTTTGAAATTATAATGTAGTATTTTTCAAATTTCTTTGCACATCGAACCCCTAATGCATAACGGGCAGGGGGGGGGGGTAAAGACAAACGATTTCGCCCATCGTGTAAATAGGCTTTTAGACCTTTAATAATTTTCTTATTTCCCTACATTTAGCGCTTCTTTTCGACACCACATTTATCTAAACAATTCTCAAATCCTGTTATTTCAAAGAACACCTTGTGACCCTTTGTATGGTTTCATGAAATTCCCAACATTTAAACGGCACAATAAATCTTGACTTTTTATGCAGTTTACCCTAAAATAAATGAAGTATCATGCTCTATGCTGTCAAAGAAAATGGTACTAGAATTGTTGAGAGAACGGTAAATAAACTAAACACGTTAGTGAAATAAATAAATATCCCATCCCCCTCTCTCTCTTTTGGTTAATTTTACACAGCACCGCATAACGAATATATATATTTACAACACCCCCCCCCCACACACACACACACACCTGTCTTTCCATCTATCTATAAATCACATAAGGTCGGCGTCAGAGGGCGTGAATGCCGCCATTAAAGCGAATGTTCCGGGTTCTATGCTGCCAGAATATGCGATCAGGGCCGCCTCGACACCCACCCCCTGAAAAAGCTTCTGTCGGCAAACGAAACGAAAGGCGGTAGTTGTCAGCAAATTCCTAAAAAAATCGAATAATCTTTAATGAAGCACAAAGCAAGGTGCAAACAAGTAAATAACAATAATGGAAATTATCTGCCATCATTTTAAGACACGACTGATTCTTAACGACCACACCCACGCCCTTTTGTCGGCATATTTAAACGTTACACCCCACCCCACCTTTCTTTCGCAACGGCCCTGTATACGATGTGATTATTTTGTAAACCAGGTAAGGGATACCAGCCCCCCCCCCAAATGTCCATCGCACCATGGCTATGCATCGCAATAAGTAAATTATCAAAATGATTTACTTCGGTCATTCACTTGCCAGCCAATTTTCCGTCACTGCCCTCATCATGTATAACTCCCCAGCAACCAGGGCAGAGATCGCAGCTGTGCTTCGTTCTCCACGGACATATTGAAACCTCTGCATGCTGGACCGTTCGAAGTAAGGCAAAAGCTGTTTGAAGAATATTGTGTTCATCCGAAAATTCGCTATGGCCTTAGATAATGCTATCAGTTTTAGTAGTGCTAGTAGCATGTTTATTTTCATCATGATTCTTATCATTATCATATTTATTGTCAGTATTTGATGTAATTACTATTAGAATTATCATCATATCATCATTATCACTATTATTATCATGATCATTATCATCATCCTCATCGTTGTTACTTTTGCTATCATTATTATTATTATCAGTATTCATCATTATTATCATTCCTATCATTATTGCAGAGATGTTGTTTATGCTGTTGAAATCAATGAGAAATGGAGAAAAAATGGAGAGAAGGCCTCATTGGAAAGTGTCGAGAGGATGGCTATATGGATGATTATGGATGGAAGGTAAAAGAAACATGTGAGTTAAAATTAAGCGGCAGTGATGCATGATGTAATTGTATATAAA